TCTTACTATTTACTTACTATTTTGTATTTTTATTTGAATCTTATTTTTTTGTTGGAAATTTTTAAATTATGTATATAGTTCCTATAAATCTATTTTAAATGTTTAGTAATTATTATTTTTAATTGATTAAAAATTAAAATAATATTAAAATAAGAAAACATCTTTTTACGCTTTTTAACGCATATGCCTCGCCTAATCTCGCCTGGCCCTGGGCTTGACATGCACGCATCGCCACGCATTACGCCTTTTAGAACACTGGTTTTAATCAGTACTTTTAAAAAGCGTCTCACTACAAAATTTTATCTTATCGTCTATTTATGCTTTACGCACGCATATAATTGATTTAGGTCCGTTTAGGCCAGTAGAATATGAAGTTTGGAGACTGATTTTAACGTAATTGAAATGATTTTAGAATTTGATTTTACTTGGTATCGTTTTTTATTTTTTGCTAGTTTTCTACTTATTGACATACGATTGCAGTGTAATTTTAATAATTAATTATCTGAAATATTTCTTGTCGTATTGCATCCCGTATTTGATAACGATTTATGTCAAAAAAGTCCATTTAGAAGGCGTAAAACAACTTATTTATTGAGTATATATTTATTATGAAATAAATAGAAATAAAATATTTCTCATTCATTTCAAATCACTTATACAAAATATTTTAACATAGACGAGATATGTTGATTAATGAAAAGTTAATATAAGACTTCAGCAAACTAATTAAAGATATTAGTGCTATAATGAACAAAAATTGCGGGCCTTGAATGAAATTACAACATGATGCAACAAATAAAAAGTGTGGTGCCAATTAGGGGCGGAGCCAGGACTGAAGGGTACGTGAGGCTATTGGGTTCGACAATGGAAAAAAAAAAGGGCTTTATCCAATTTTATTTTATTTTTTTTTACAAAAGATGGGCTTGAGCAAGTCCACCCACCCGTATCTCCGCCACTGGTGCCAATATAACCATCCTTATCTATGATTAGGATAACAATCATAACCTTATTATAGGTGCTAGCCATGCAAATACAATGTGCCGAAGCAATGTGCATGTGGCTCATAGTATATACTAGGAAGTTGTGTAAAAGTAGATGAGAGAATCTTTATACTTTTGTGTACGTTTTAAATTATCGAGGATTTCACAAGACTTTTAAAAAGTCAAAAATTACTTATGAGATTAATAGTTAATTTTGAACGTGTTTGCATGATTTTTTGAAAATGTTTTATCTGATTAGAAGAGTTTGAATAAATAAACTGATATAATATATTTTACTCAAGAAGTTCTAAGTAGAAACAAAAATAAAAGCTCTACCAACCAACCGGCCCTAATTGATTCCTAATCTTGTTTAATTCGGCAATGGCACACAATTTAATGAAAATTAATTCTAAAAGGGGATTAAAATAATTTATTTTTTAATTAACCTCAAAACTGCCTGCTAAGTAAGTTGTTAGAGTTTGTTTGAGATAGAGTTTTGATAGGTTTAAGGTCCTTTGTCCACGTAAAGTTGTACTTATCTTGTTAGTTTTAATGACATTTTCAATTTTTTTTAAAAATAAAAACATAATATATGTCATAAATAAATTGAAGTGATTTTACATTTTAATTTTACTTTCTTTCCCTATTTTCTATTGTTTCCTATTATTGTAAAATTAGCAATCAATTACGTGATTTTTATCTTGTCATATTGATGTACGACTTTTTTCATATCGATTCATAAATAGCAATGTATTTTAAGGGCGGAAACCTTATGTGTCACACCCCATATGAATGAAACAACATACATAGAAATAAATTTGGCTATCATTTCAAAGAAAAAAAAAAGAAGAAGGAAATTGTGATGACTAACAACACATTTCCTCTAGAAACAAAAAAACATGTAAGAAATATCAAGAACAAAAAATTACTTCACATAATTATAAATTCAGCCCACTCTATCTGCACCTCATCAAAGCTCATCTTAGGGTATGTTTGATGGCACACATTTTCTAGGGAAGTAGGAAAGTTTTTTTCATTTTCCAAGTTTTGGTGTGTTTGATTGGACAAATTTTTCTAGGAAAATATTTTCTTGAAGTTACCTCATACGCCAGCGTTTCTAGGATTTGGTGGAAATTGTTTTCTTGAGGTTTTGGTGAGAATCCATTTTTCAGTTTTTTTTTTTTAATTTTTAATTTTTTGGCAAATGAAAAACATTCTAGACACAATGGTAAAAAAAATTATCACTTTTCTTGACAATTTTCCTTGTAAAACAAAGCCAAACGAATGATATTCGGTATGATAATTTTTTTTTTTTGGGCAATTCTAGACCCAATAATAGAAAAAATTATGACTTTCATGGATAATTTCTATGAAAAACAAAGTCAAACGGATACCAAACTTTCGATATTTTTCAGGTGGAAAATTATACTAATCAAACACAATTAATTACAATTCCTAGTAAAATAATTTCTAAACAATTCAATTTTCTGGAATTCATTTTCTTTCCACCCATTTTCCACATTTCCAATCAAACGGACCCTTAGAGAAATGCCCTTCTAGAAAATTTTATTGGAGAAAATTATAGACGGTTAAAGATATTTAAAAAAAATAAACCTTATGTGTCACACCCAATAACAATGTATTTAAGGGCAGAAACCTTATGTGTCCCACCCAATATGTATGAAACAACATACATAGAAATAACTTTGGCTATCATATCAAAAAAAAGAAAAGGAAATTGTGATAACTAACAACACATTTCCTTTACAAACAAAAAAATATGTAAGAAATATCAAGAACAAAAAATTACTTCATAAGATTATAAATTCAACCCACTCCATCTGGACCTCATTAAAGCTCATCTTAGAGAAATGCCCTTCTAGAAAATTTTATTGGAGAAAAATT